AAAACGGATGGGTGGCCTACTCGCTAATGAAGCAGAACTTGCAGCGTAAGTCCTCTGTGAGGTACAATATTTACGTAATCCTCCCTATCCATCAAGCCAAATGCTGGCAAGTGATGACGCTTAGTAGAAACCAATTCTTTACGCCTTTCCAAATCCTATTAACACTTATAATACAGGCGCTCTACCGCAATATAGCGTTTTATCGTACTAGTTAAACAGTCAGTAAAAAATCCTAATATAAAAGAACAGGAAAAAGAGTTTAAAAAGTATTTAGAGGTAGTCAATTAGGTACGTGGTGTTTATAGTCTGATAGATTTATTGCAATAATGTCTTGTTCAACGTCGATGGCTTGGACGAAGGTCGAAGAATTCGTGAGCAACGGTCGTTCCTGGAAGCCAAAAGCGCTAAATCACGCATGACACTGCACGGACGTCTTACTGTAGAGGAAATGGTAACGATTGAATCAACGGGATGTGTGTGTGGAACACTCTAGTTACGGGGACGGTTGTGTTGTAGACCACCAATACACCTCGAGATAAGGGATGTCATATGCAGAAATACCACTGGGGAATTAAGAAATAAAGATTGTTAACACGGAGATCACAGTATATACATCTACATAATATAATACAGGATAACATTGGCACCTGTAAATTTGAAGGACACTGTATTTTCATTTTACGTGGATAATGTAGTAGCTTTGGGATCACTTCACTATGTGGGAAGCCAATTATTTGTGTATCCCTATGCTGAAAGCGTAACCCATAACACTTATTCACTCACTCACTTTGAGGTAAAGGTCTTCAAATGTGTTCCAACCTATACATTCCCTCGCCTAATAATAAACACATGCACGTCTTGATTATGCTGCCGTGCTTAGATCCACTGTCAAACCAAAGTAACAATATTTTTTATCATACCCAATTCTTAACTACAGGTCCCTGTCTCCAGATTTCTGCGTTAAGGGTAATCAATAGAATGAGATAACACCACCATTTAAATTGTAGAAATGTCATCATAAACTGTGTATTCAGGTTTTACTCCATAATATTTAAAGGACATTCAACCATATTGCAGGATATATGATAGCCGTCATTAGACAGAGCTAACTTGAATCACGAACACATTCTAAATAATTGAAGAGTTATTGCCTGACAGATTTGTCCTGTAAGCCAATATGACAGTGCGATGTGCACTAAATCATGGGTAAATATCACAACTGAGGAGCAATTGGACCAATGCCTATGGGATCCTGACTCTAATGGACAGTGTTTACATCATTGATCGGCTTTCCGTATGTTTGTCATTCATATTCCAGATCACATTAGTGAACTGCACGATCTCACATTGCCCTAATCACAGGAATCGCTGGTGTTATCAGTGAAGATGATTCACAATAACTTGTCAAATGTGATATGGTGTTTTATAATTAGGACAAATGTTATGTATGACATCAGGAGGACCTATGCACAATTATTTCACAGAAAATATGTACATATGGGATTTTTGTACAAGGATATGACAATGTCCATACGCTCATCATCCAGATTCCAGACTCACTCTGGGCGATAATGTATATATCGCATTAAGATGCGTCCCAGTTTGTTTATGACTATGACTATTGTTTCAATCTTTACATCATGGTTAAATGTTATGACAATACTAAATCCCTAAAACTAGTTTATGAGGTTTTCTTATAATCTGAAATTAAGCGCATTTTACACAACAAACATTCCTGTTGACTAGCAATGTTTGTGCATATTCAGTCGTGAAGCTTTTGGTAATTGTGTTATAATGGGTCTTTACATTTCACTCCAATACGTCAGAAAGTGACGTCAGAAAGTGACGTCAGAGAAGCAAACAGCTCATATACAACAAGCATACTACATATATGAGAAATATGCAACAATTATTATATTTTTGTATTAAAACAATATTGTTTATTAGCACTCTTGCTTGCGTTAAGAATAATGAAATTAAGAACAGATTACTACTTGACTATCTGATTCTGAAAGTGAGTATTTTACGTGATGGGAAATATATTCAAATGAGATAATACTTATGTCAGAGGATATACAGCTTAAAATAGGTAACCCGTGAGGATCCGGGTTAGAATATTGATCTTCAGTAACCCATGCTTGTCGTAAAAGGCGGCTAACGGGATCGGGTGGTCAGGCTCGCTGACTTGGTTGACACATGTCAACGGTTACCAATTGAGTAGATCGATGCTTATGCTGTTGATCACTGGATTGTCGTTTCCAGACTCGATTATTTACAGACGCAGCCATATAGCTGGAATATTGCTGAGTGCTGCGTAAAACTAAACTCACTCACTCACTCAATTAAACTAAGTGTGGTTCTATCACCTTGATCGGAGACACTGGTTTCCTCCACTAAACGCCAAAAGAAACGTTACCCTCCTTCCTTAATGACGGAGGTACCTATCTTCAGCTGGCGTTGTGATGCGTGGACGTCCACTTCTTGGTCTGTCTACGGTGACCCCAGTCTGTCTGAAGCCCTGAATAAGTCTTATGACCGTGATACGGTGGCATCCGAAGGCTCTGGCAACAGCATTGTATGTCGACCATATCTGCACCATCCAAATGGCTCTTTCTCTCCCTCCAGCTGTTACTCGTGGTATATATCTCGTACTTGTGTATCAGATGATGTCTTCTGGTCTCTGTTTATACCCTACAAAATCATTCTACATGTGAAATGGATGCAAATACTGCTTGAATATTGCTACGTTTTTGTTATTGATATTGCTATGTGTAAACAGAAAATGGAAAAGATTTTACCTTGCAAGCAAAAATGTTAACAAAGATAGTTTTTGTTGTTCCTAAACATTGTTTCACAATATCAAAGACACGTTTTACTTGTTTTCACTAATGCAAATAAGCAGAAAATGTTTTAAAAGACTAAAATCATAAGAATGATTATTTTACAATTTTCCACACTCTACAACAGCTGTTTCTTGTTTTAATAGTTGAAAATGGTGACTTTCAATGGTTTATGATTGACCCAAAGCAGAACCTTTCTTTTGTACATCAAAATCACTGTTATTGGTGTATTTCGGCATGGACGAACATAGGGCAATTTAACTCTTGCATTTCACCTAAATATGAATGCATTTGAGAATGAGCTGTGCTGTTAAGTTTTCTTGTAAACTAAAACCTTCTAACATATCTTTGACAGTTTTTCAGTAATTCATAAAGGTAGGAGGGTAACGTTTCTTTTGGCGTCTAGTGTATTTATCTAAGATGCCTCCAGTCGTTATGCAGTACTTTCCTCTTAAGCGTTCCAAAACTGATAATCGTGGGTTCCAGACCCGGACCTACCCTGACCTCTTACTTACTCATTGATGTATTTCTGAATGAAGGTTTATTATTAAAACAAAGGCAAAAGTTATTGTGACATACAAAGAAAGTACGTAAAATAGGTTTACTATTACTAGGATATGCAGCACCGTTCTCGTACCTAAACTACATCAACAGAAGATTTTAAAAAAAAGTCTGTCATGAACTCTGAAGTACTCCTTGCACTGTTCTCGAATCTCTGAATGAAGATTTGCAAGTGTAATCAAATGCCATACCAAATTATTTTTAAAGGATTTACAGGTGTTAATGGAATAACACAATATGAAAGGGTTCTTGTCATTTGCAAAGAAGTCTTGTCACGCGGGGATTCAGAGGAACATGCATAAGCCTGTACCTTGTGTATTGATACAGGCCTGACACCTCCTTACTTATCGTATTAAACGTTTGAGGAAGGCCTGGACACTGGCATTCCATATCTGGGGAAGGATTAGGCAAAATGCCTGCTCCGTTGTGGCAAACATCGTTCCATTTCATCAGATATGCATGTTCGACTGGTACTTCATTGTATCTTTTGAGATATCTTTTCTCCCCAACTCTTAACATGTTGTCTGACATTATCGCGCTGCATCGTCCCTCCAGAGCCACCCAGTTGAAAAATCGGTAAAACGTTTCCAACGTTGCTGTACCGGTATCTTGGAGCATTTAAAGTTTCATCAATCACAATCATTTCAATCATTTCTGTAGCCGTCCCTCCACCCCAGATGTTATAACGGCATCACCTCCAACTCAATTGTCTTCAAGAACTCATGACAACGGGACGCCTACAGATACCTATCCTGTCGACGGATGCGTGGGCAGGATCATAATCCACTGACGTGCTGTCCAACGCAGTTGTTGTCATCACAACTGGAGACGTCGAAATTGATAGTGCGTCCTTAGACTTTGCTGAGGTCGCACAGATGCCGTGCTTGCGTAGACGTCGTCGGACTGTCACCGCAGATAACGCCTTTGTTGTTAGGGATGGCATGGGTTGTAACAGTTATTGCCTGGAACCTACTTGTTGCAAATCCTGATTTCTTGGCGTGGCGTGGGGATATGTGTGGGCCGTCACTTCTGTCTCTTCTGGTGATAACGTCGCCTCATACGTCCCTTCCTGTGGACTAACTGACAACGTTAACGTCACACCAATACCGAACTCAAGCATTCATATGGCTCGCCACCTGTAATTTCCACTTAGACGTAACATGGTAGAATCTTATCAAAACGGTGAAATGTTGGGTAGATTTCTGAATATACTTGGCAATAAAATGAAATTGGACAGCTGGTCCTGATAGAGAGTAATGGAAGTAATTCTGCATATGTTATTGTTTGTAACAGGTGTACAATATCAGCGAGATTTGGTCGGTTGCGTTTCTATAATTTTTGTGAACACTTGCCCTTGCACAATCATAAATGGTTATACATAGACTTCATTAACTGATAATAATGTCAAGGTCACAACGTGTTGCCCGTAACCATACTGTTATATTAAGTTGAGACATACAAGGAGTATATTTACAACAAAAACATTTTGATTAATGTAAAGGAATCTCTTTGAACAAACTAGCATGACACCTCTGTAAGGCATTATATAATGTTAACGGAATAAAGTAATATCATTACGAACCATATGTTTCATTTCAGAACGTGTCGGTGTCGGTGTCGGTCCTGACTCTGAGCGCCATCTCTGTAGAACGATGGTATGCAATCTGCCATCCCCTAGCGTTCAAGAGCACCCTCTCCCGGGCACGCAACAGCATCATCATCATCTGGGTTGTCGCTGCAGGAGTAGCCCTCCCGGAACTGCTTGTTGCTGATACTAGCCCCTATGACTATCCTGGAGACTTTCAAACTGTTTACTTGACAACCTGTGGCCCAGCCTGGATGGAATGGAAGCAGATAATTTACCAGATCAGTCTTGTGATTGTCATGTACGTATGTCCGTTAGTGTTGATGGCGCTAACGTATACCAACATAGCTGTGGTGCTCTGGCGCAATGACATCCCTGGACAGGCTGAGATGGGACAGTATTCAAAAGGTTTGGTATGAATACGTCTACTCAAAATGTTTTAAAATGAATGTTGCGGTTGAGAACAGGTTCTGCGAGGGTGGGCAATACCAACTACGAAATCCTTCTTCAATGCGCACTCAGTATTGATGCAACGCGCAGATTACAGAGAGGGAGTGAGTGAGTGAGTTCAGTTTTACACCGCTTTTGACAATATCACGGCGGGGGACACCAGAAATGGGCTTCACACATTGTGCCCATGTGGGGAATCGAACCCGGGTCTTTCGGCGTGGCGGTCGAACGTGTTAACCACTGGGCGACACCACCGCCCCCGCACATTACGTATCTCGTTTAGGGCATAGATACAATTAGACCAATTTGTATCTGCAATATCTGTTGTATTTTGCAACAAGTGTTTTAGATTCCAATACCACCCTTTGGAAACAATTTGTTTAGGAAATAATGTTAACATGATACATTGACGTAGAAAAGGTAACCCCCGTCTCATTTAAGGATCTTATGCATATAATTTAAATACCAGTAGATGTATCTTCACATCCTGGGTCAGTGTGCCAGTTATAAGTGATAGTTAAATGTAACTGTTGTTATTTACGTGATTTGCTATTTCCAGGCAAAAAACCAATGATTGAAGGGAAAGGCAAGAGCCAAGAGGACAAGGTGCAATCTCGGAGAAAAGCAGCCAAGATGCTTATCACAATAGTCATCGTGTTTGCCATCTGCTACTTGCCTGTACATCTCTTTAACATCCTAAGGTGAGCCATGCTTGTACCATCATAAATTGTCGACGTTCATTCTACCAGTGGCAATCCCGGCTAAATGAAATAATCCCCAAGACTGGTAACTGCAGACATTTTTGTATGACCATGGAAAAACAAGTTGGACCAATGTGATTAAATCTAAGCATAAATGTAGAACAGTTTCAAATTGGTATCCCAATCACGTGTATCGCGGTCCATAAAAACGGAACTGATAAAATGAAACACGTGACCTCACACCGAAATGACTACAAAGCGGTGATGACACCAGATGTAAGCTGTTTCCTGATGAATGTATTTACAGCAGCTATGTCTTGGCGAAGGAACATTAACCAATAAGAATGTATACAACTGTCTGTAGCCATGTTTCATGCCCACAGAAGCTAATGCAGTTGTTACCTTGGGATTAGACATATACACAATTGCTTGACCTTGGACAATTGATATTGTTTGAAAGACTTAATGCCAATATATCAAATATCCCAGTAATGTTTGAATTAGGAAAGATTGTTTGGACCGGATTTGTCGACAGATTCATAAGGAAAGTACATTGTATGAAGTAAACTGACACAAAGAGTTTTCATTTATAACGTCAAGACAACACTACCGTATCTTCTATGGTTGTTGAAACTGCATCCTTCCGCCATTGTAGGTTGCCAAAATGCACATACGGATGTAAATGAATCTTTGCAAAATCTCATATTTTACAGAAAATTCATGACATTTTGAAGGAAGCCCGACCGCGGAACAGATCATAATTTGCATAACCGTTTTCAAGGGTATTTTAAGTACAATGTGTGAGTTAATATTGGAATGTTTCTATGGAACTGTGAAATCTGTGGATCAATACAATATAATATCGTCTATTGACATTATTTAAACTTCTCGTTGAATGGATTTAATCATCTCTGGTCGTATTTCAGATTGATTTTGTATCGATTTTATGTTTTTAACATGTAAAGGAGGAGGCTTTGACTGTTGTATTAGATGTCACATTTCGAAGCAGTGATTGTTCGCGCTGCCATTTAGCCATGAACTTCCTGGTACAAGTTATCCACTCTATGTTTAAGCTATCGTTTTACCATATCATTTCGTCAATTTGTGAATGTACGGATCCTACCTATTTTGTCAAATAGCCCACTTTACAAATTCGTAATATCACCCAAATTAGAAACAGCAGTATATGTTTCCGCATTTAATTATATCAGTATTAGCATCTATACCCAATGATTTAAAGAAAGTTGACAGAGGTATTACATGCATATGTAAATAGAACGTTGATTTGATCCTTAGAAGCATTTTGAAGTTGTTATGGTCTTTTTGTGCATCATTTCAAACTATTGTTGCATTTTTCTTTTCTTTTTCAGGTATTTCAAAATTTTGGTAGCTAGCAACGTTGATGTAACGGCAGTTCTTAGCCAGCTGTCGCATTGGTTGCCATACTTCAACAGTGCCCTAAACCCTGTTATCTACAATTTCATGAGCGGTATGTTCTGTGATTACTTTTTCACATTTTATATTAAAGACATAAATGCAAGCCATAACATACTAAAATGCATTCGGTTGTTTGTATTTCATAAAGTCAGTGTAAGAAGATTGATAAAAAAAAGAGAAATTAATTCTCTCTAACCACATGTATTTGTGTGTCTGATAAGGAATATAAAATGGTAGAAAAGAACTATTTAGAATTCTGCTTATTATTATAATTATTCATGCTTATGCATGCAATGACTCAACAACGAAAACCCAGCTCACCTACTAATCAAAGCATTTCAAATGAGATATGTAAATCGCATGTGTTTCTCCCTTTCAAAGTTCGGAAACTTTTAGTCTCCTTATCGATTTGAATGGCACAATGTCTTAATCAACTTTTTAAAAGGAATGAATGTCTCTGATGTTTTAATAACGGCAAGAAAGAGAAACTCTCTTGAGGATCCAATTACGGGTAACGTCTCAATCAGTTGATAAATATTATTGAACCGAGACAGAATTCACTTTAAATTAACAAATCCCCCATATTCGTTTCGATTTGTTATTTCTGAAGAGTTTCTTCATATTGCGGAATAATTGGCATTTGCTCATGAGAAAAAAACATTGATTTAGTCAATCCGTCACACTTGCAATTAAGCCTGAACCGATAGTATCATTAGGTGTAACCTCATCTTAACACAAGGAGAACAGAAATATTTTGAGGAGTTACTGGAAGACATCGGATATGTCATTTTGTGTTTTTGACAACCGACCTTTATTCAAGTTTCATCCCCTGTGTACATTGAATTCCCAGAATACCACGTGATGGCCAATTAGTGGTTAAACAAATGTGCATTGAATGGGCATTGAATGACGCTTTGTGTTTGATGATTAAGATCGTTCCATAAAACCTTTTTTATGTTTTCTGGAATGCAGTGCCTTGTAGCTACTGGCCATAACAACGGAAAGACTATCATCGTGTCTGTTCCTATTTCGAAAGTACAACTTTTTTCATGTGATTCCGGTACTACTCAGAGGAGGTACCACAGCGAGCATTACATTTGAGGCTATAAGTGACAACGCCTTTTCTAGTGTCAATAAATACAGTCATGTTTCCTTTTCTATTCTGAGAGAATAAACTGTTACCTTTTTCATCTTGCAACCGAAGATGTTAAATATAATATATCTGACGTTGCCATTATCTCTTGGATAACTTATCATTTAATTTATTCCAGCAAAATTCCGCAAGGAGTTCAAGTTGGCATGCTATTGCTGCCTTCGCCCCTGGTATAAAACCAATCCACGCCGACGTGACGGGACGTTCACCATGACGTTCTCCAACAGCAACTACAGCAACTGCCATACTGAAGAAGTCACACTCACAAGCTTTAAAGACTGAGCAGGTCTTCCCTTACTGATTAGCGTGAAACTCCGAATGCACACCAGTGAAACAAAGATGAATCTGATTTCAAATTACGGGATTGAAGACGTCTTACCACTCGAACGAAAAAGCTTATTTTTTATGGAATGTGAAAACGATGACCCGGCGACATTTTGTCGATTCCGCGTAATACGATCGTTAACTGCACATGGTACAGGTGCAAAAGCCATATCACTTGTATTGTCAGAGCTCAGTCAGACACGTCATTGTTCATTAGTATATTCATGAACCTTTAAAGACCAGAGGCCAGAAGCAACATTCAAAGAGACGACGTATCCGCAGGGACATGGTCAGTAACGTGTGTAACCTCGGGGTCTCGATTTCATTGAACAGGCCTTATTTACGCTTGATCCATGTGACTATATTGATGATCACGTTCTGTATGTTGCCGTTAGGCGTTTAGAAATGTTGACGGGTTAACTGAAACGTCAATGGACGTTTGCTAAACCAACAACTTTGGTCTTTGTTGAGAATACTAGTTTAGTTCAACTATATTCTTAAAGTAAATCTCACATAAAGTTGTGAATACATACATGTATTTCTCTTTCCATTTTGCACCACACATGAAATAAATCTGAAAGGTTTTGGTAAAGTCTATTTGTGTGTGTAACATAGATTCTCCGGATATATGAGTTGCATGCTCATTCACTTCATCGTAACGTCATGGCTGAGATATTGCCGATGTGACGTTGAAAATTAACTCATTCACTCTTCACTTGATCTAGGTCTACAATACTGTGTTGTGGTGTTCGCGTTACAAATCCTATTTTCCAGAATAAATATAAATAAATGTAACAAGATTAGTTGCTTTAATTAATAGGATTAATATATTGCAGATGTCGACCTTCGTTACATTGAGCTTACAGGCCTTGCCATAAAAGCCTCGATTATGAAGACTTTTTACCTTGAATGTCAAAGCCTCGATTCTCTCTCTCTCTCTCTCTACCTTCTCTCTCTCTCTCTCTCTCTCTCTCTCTCTCTCTCTCTCTCTCTCTCTCTCGATCTCTCTCTCTCTCTCTCTCTCTCTCTCTCACGGTTTCTGTTGTTAACAAGTTGTGGTGTTTCACTCAATATCATTTGATCACTATATAAAGACGAATTGATGTGTTGTATTATTGCATTGTATTTGTAAACATCCAGTACTACCGTAGAAGTGTATGCAGTTCATAGGGAGTTCTGTGGTGTATTGTTTGGTGCAAACACATTGTCAACATCAGAACTTTACATATCAGACATCAAGAAAGTGTATTCAAACCATAGGAAGTTCATCCAGTATGTTTTCGTTTCTTTGTTATCATCAAACCTGTGATGTTTAAAAAACGCCTGTGAAGTCACAGCTTTGAATGACCTTTTAACTCATATGTTGATAACGTTATCCTCAAATGAAATTTCCCCCTTGACGATGAAACACAAGTGGGGAAGTGTACAGTTTGCCTATGTTTAATTTATCTACACGTTTGCTTGTTACGGGATCTATTGTTATTTGTTATCTTGTGCTATTTATTGTAATATTATCATTATGTATTTTTAACTGTGAATGTTGATTTATCAGATATCCTATTATTGTTTTAATGCAATAAGAATGTATGTAAAGATTGCATTATGTTTAACGAAAGACATTGCAAATATATGGTGGTCGTTTGATTGAAATACTATTCTTGTCATCCCTGCAAATAGTCCTATTCTACATGGTAAAAATATCAATTATGCCATATTCAGTTCGATACGTGTAAATGCAATAGGTAAGATTAATACTTGGGAAATGAACACACTTCTATTAAAAACAATATATGCAGCAATAATGTCGATATAAAGCATCTTCTGTAGATTTCACTTCATATGACGTCAGAAAAATTCAGAAATATATTTATTGGCAATATACAGGTTGTAAAATGGAACATTCTCTTCCTTTCAGTTTAACCTCATCCTCCGGTTACTTACTTTAGTATCCTTTTGTTGCTTTGACACTAACTATGGGAATTATTTTTATTGTTGGGAGTGGCTGAATCATGCTTGTTTGACAGCAACGTCAAACTGATATTCTGAAAGAAGAATATCGACACGTAACAGCAACGTCATAATACAAGGAGACAACTTCATCGTCAGAGATGATATATGACCACTAGAAGCTTTAGTGTAAACGTATATTTTGGCCCTGGCCTACCTTATTGCAATTCACAAATCCATCTGATCATAAGTATCGATCTAGCACCATGCCACCATTGTATCAGTGTTGTCCTAATATTATGTACAAAGGCGCAACGGACTTCCACTTGGTAAAATACGATTGTTATTGTGTACATATATTCGTCAGTGGATATGTAATGTGAATACAAATATGTGAACGCAGTTAAGCATTTGTGAAATAAAATTGCATCTCTGAATGTGTTAATGATCTTTCAACTTTATTAATACTTTCCAACTCAGCACAAGAGGATATTTGCATGTAAAATGAAGGTTATTGCCGAAAAATCAATGATATAAAGAATGATAAGTACGATGAGTGTGAATGAAATCCCACAGCCTTGAATGCGTCTCATATTGATGGCACAGGTCTCTCATATGATGTTGGAAATCTGCTTGGTTGTGGGATCAGATAATAATCTTGAAATTTTGCTCAAACGCATCCTGTCAGGACTTTTTAAATACAAAACCATTTCTTGTTTCATTGGCAAGCAGACGCACTAAGTCTCCTCTAGCGCCTGTTTCGTGGTATGTTAATACGGTAGCAAAGACAATGAGTAGCATGGCTAGTGTCAATAATCGTGCCCACAAGGCGTTCATTTTCTGAACTCCAGCTCAATCAGGCTTCTGCACTAATACAATATTCTAAGACTGATGTAATAAGGCTGGGATATTGCTGTGACGAAAACGTACCTTCTTGTTCCATAACAGACTTCAGGTCACTAAACTGTGTGTTGCCGAAGAACTGAAATAACATGAAATAAGGTTGGAAGGAAGGATAACACTATATGGATTAACAATGTCTTTATTACAGTGAGAGCAACGTTTCGGTGTAGGTTCTAAAACCTTTGTGAAGCAAGTAATTAACAGAATAAAGATTGAGAGGCATCTCATTGTAATAAAGAAGCTATCCTTCCTTACTGCTCCAACTTCTAAATGTCTCTTCAAGAAGATATAAAATCAGACTGCTTGACAATTAAAATTGGTGAATCGTCCATCGTTTTCATTGGTCGTAGGTTCGGATATTATGTTTGCAGAACAGAAAGTAATACTATTTATCGTTTAAGAATAGCGACAAGGAAAGTACACAAACTGAATTTACACTAATTGGCCGCACATCGTTAATATGATGAAACACGTCAACAAAAACTGACAAAGTTTTGAACAAAACATCGGCGAAAAATGAAATGATGATTGAATGTTCATAAGACGGATAACTGTCAAGACGTCACTTATGCTGCCATAACTAAACTGAGATTGAATACGAATGATTACGTGAATAAATGTGACGTCAGTACCAATATTTACAAGCATTCCTTTTTCAAAGCTACTTATTGTGATACAAGGAGGCGTGGCTCGTCACGTGGACACGTGTTCGATTCCCCACATGTTTATAATGTGAAGCATATTTCCGGTGATATTGATTGAATATTGCTAAAGGCGGAGTAAAAGCCCGTACACTCACTCACTCTCGTGATAAAAATGGATGTTTCCATTTGTAAATTTAATGTACACCCATCCACAACAGGAACTGGAGGAACATGTTATTTTTGAAACCTTAAGTCACCGTATTTTTAAACCGTAATATACAATTCACAGTTGTGTTGTGTGTTTCACTGACTCATGACTACGTTCCTGTCATGCTATATTAGTGAATGAGTGAGCTCAAATTTGACGTCACACAGGCAATGTTTCAGAGATATCGTGACGACAGAAAGTCATGCATAAACAATAAAATTATTATACTTATATAACAAAGCTGTTATCGAAAGACAGTGAAACAACTAGTTTGCCACAGATTATATTAAAAAGTAGTTGAACATCATTTTAAAAGACAAAATCATAATTCAAGAACACAATTTAAAATCGGGCTATAGATCACAGCAACCAACGTTAGACCACTTTCCACTGGGACAATGGACCGTGGAGACTTACGATACTTCTGCCTACTGCAGGGTCATGCTCGAAAAACAGTAATATCAAATCAGAAATTAGGTTCCTTCAGAGCAATTGATTTATTAAGGACGATATAAAAGTGGCAGAATCGACATTGGTTATATTTTCGAAGGCCCCAATAACTTCGATCAGCTAAATGATAACAGAGACAACTGGAACGTAAACACGGCGTTTTGAAAATAGGAACGCCATGTTTTTTCCCGTGATCATGAAAGAACCATTATTATTGCAAAGCCACAGCATCATATTTGTTCCGGCAAGTATCTCTGAAAATGAGCAAACAGAAATAACTGAGCAAGCAGAAATAACTGAACAAATAGAAATGACTGAACAAACAGAAAAAAATCAAACGCAAGTAGCATTATGAAACCGTGTCAGATTATTAAGTAGAGATGGAGTCAGCATCACTGAGGTTTATCGTTTGGCGAAGCACTCAGCAGTATAATCCAGTCGTATGATTTTGTTCGTTTGATTGTTTGTTGTTTAGCGCAGCAGTATTCAATCCAGTGATCGACATCATGAGCAACTGGGGACAATAGTCAGCAAACCTGATCACCCGATCCCGTTAGTTGCGTGTAAGTGAGTGAGTGAGTGAGTGAGTATGGTTTAACGCCGCTTTTAGCAATATTCCAGCAATATCAAGGCGGGGGACACCAGGAATGGGCTTCACACACTGTACCCATGTGGGGAATCGAACCCGGGCCTTCGGCGTGACGAGTCAACGCTTTAACCACTAGGCTACCCCACCGCCCCAGTCGCGTGTAAGACAAGCATGTGTTACTAAAGACCAATTCAAACACACTGATATTCACGGGCTCCAGCCACATGACGGCTTGCTGTGTATATGTTTCAGACACAGAAACAGAGGTTGATGTTACATGACTCAAAATACGTTACGGACAACCCAATACTTTCACATTACAATAGTAATGGGCTTAGCGTACCACTCTGCTGACAGTACAATGATCCGTAATGACCCCCTTTTTTGAACTGTCAATTCAATGTTATTTAATTGGCTAGTGCCAAAAACAAGGCATTGTTGGGACGTTCTGCCTGTAACATTGCTAATATATACTTATTTGTTAATTTGCAACGAAAACCAAATCCTTACATGATGATTAAAAGTGTATTTGTCCTTGATGAGGTGAGGTGAAATTGGGTTTAACGTCGTGCTTGAGAATATTTCGCTCATATGACGACGTGCATGCGTGGGTATGTGTATTTGCGGCTGCTTGTACTAGCCCAGACTGAAGCTGGTTTTATAGTGCTAGCCCACTGAGATACCATGCCGCAGTGAAGCATGAATACCCCACTCAGACACATAATACTGACTCCGAGCCGAACAGTCCTTGTTGTACCCATAAATGCCGAGCGCCAGGCAGGGACCAACAAGTACCATATTTTAACGTCTTTTAGCATGACGCGGCCGGGGATCTTGTCCTTGGTAGTTTGATGTTATAAGATTTCATGACCACTGTGGGCACTTTATCCTGGGTTTTTTTCCTGTTCAATGATAGGGAGAGTTTGGTTTAAGCCCACTCTTGACGTCTTCCATTAATATCAGAGCGTATAAGCTTGGTATTGGGGAAGAAAGCGGTGATGGGCTTTTCCATACTGCAGAAACCCATAAGCACGGGTCTGGTTATGACAAACCTAGAAACATACTCGGGGCAAATCAGGACTCGAAACCACA